TCTCTCTCTCTCTCTCTCTCTCTGTGTGTGTGTGTGTGTGTGTGTGTGTGTGTGTGTGTGTGTTATGAATTATCGCCAGAACTTCCTTTGTTCCACCCAGATGAGTAGATCCAAAGTCATAACAATTTCACCTCTATTGCAGACAATGAAGCATGCTTAAGATGAGCCAATTCACCTCTGTGTGCGGACCCGGACAGCGGACCACCCCGGACCCGGACCCCCGGTCAGTCCGGTATCGATCCGGACGTCTGCATTCCGGACCATCCGGACCATGTCCGGATTGGTCTGGATGGTCTGGATGGTCCTGTCCGGATCGGTCCGGATTGGAAAAAAAAAAAAAAAAAAAACGTGAGGGGGTTGCATGTTGCAAACACATCCCTCCCCCTTCATTCGAGTCCTCCCTCTCCCCCTTCAGTCCGAACCTCCCTTCCCCTTCTTACAAACCTCCCTCCCCCTCTTTTCGAACCTCCCTCCCCCTACTTCCAAACCTTCCTCATATTTCTTCCAAACCTCCCTCCCCCCTCTTCCGAATTTTGGAAGGAAAAGGTAAGTTCACAAACGAAGGAAATATGCGAATAAAACATCATGAATGAATAAAAAGAACCCCGATTCTGTCTGCGCATAGAATCTTCATGCAATGAAAAGCAATGAAGAAGATTCATAACCAACACTGCAGGGGAATTGCAAAAGAAGGGGGAGGGAGCTTTAGAACGAAGGGGGAGGGAGGTTTCCTATGAAGGGCAAGGGAGGTTTGGAATAGGGGAGGGATTCCGATTGGATCCCAAGTTCGAAATGAAAACCATCCAAAAGATCGTGAAAGAACAAGAAGAACCGCGATTCTCTCTGCTCATAGGATTGTAATGTCATGAAACGCAATGAAGAACATTCAAAACGAACCGTGAGGGGGAAAGGGTAGGGGCATGAAGGCGGAGGGAGGTTTAGAACGAAGAGGGAGGGAGGTTTGGAACGAAGGGGGAGGGCGGCTCAGAATACGGGAGGTATTGCGATAGGATAACCTCCCCTATTCCGAGCCTTCCTCCCCTTTTCGTTTAAAACCTCCCTCCCCCTTCGTTCCAAACCTCCCTCCCCCTTCTCCCCCCTACTTCCATCCCCTTTCATTAGAAACGCTCCTCCCCCTTCGTCCGAACCTCCCTCCCCCTTCTTCCCCGTTCTTCCCAACCTCCGACATATCATCCGAACCTACCCCTTCGCCCCGAACCCCGCTCCTCGTTGCATGAACGTAACGAATCTTTCCAATGAGAGAGCGAGCGAGCGAGAGAGAGAGAGAGAGAGAGCTCCCCCTTCGTTCGAACCTCCGTCCCCCTTCTTCGCCCTTCTTCCCCCGATTTCCCGGCCTCCCTCCACCTTCGTTCGTAGAGCAGGAACAGCCGAATCCCATA